AAAATCGCATAATCACTGACATATGAACAATTTTCTGTGAAGCAGTGATTAAAACAAATAATATTACTATCTTTTTTTCTCTGTATAATCGAAATCAGTGGTGTATGATGTGAATAATGTTCAAAATTCTAGAAAGAAATCCAAAATGCATAGAAGCATTGCCATTTACCAAATAAATAAAAATAAGCTGGAGATGGATGCGCAATTTTTCAATTTTGGCTTATTTTTTTTTAACCAAAAGCCCTCTTTAGCTCCTTGAGCACTTGAATTACAGCAATTTCTGTGTATTTTTATAAAAATTTTCAAATAGAATTTATTCGAATTTAATTTCATATTTACTACAATAGAAGTTTTAACTTTATATACAACGTTTTGCTCATTTTATAATTTTAAATTATTTAAGAAGTTGTAATTATTCTTTTCATGGCAAATTGCTTAAATATGCTGTAAAATAAAATCAGTTTCTCTGATATTATTGGGTTGCCCAAAAAGTAATTGCGGATTTTTCAAAAGAAAGTAAATGCATTTTTAATAAAACTTAGAATGAACTTTAATCAAATATATAATTGCCATTTTGTTCGATAACCTTTTGCCATCTTCCTGGCAAATTTAGTATTCCACGCTCATAGAACTTCTGGCCTTTATCTGCAAAAAACTGAACCAAGTGCAATTTTATAGCCCCATCATTGCCGAAAGTTTTACCATTTGAGGAGTTCTGCAAAGATCGAAATAAATGGTAGTNATGGACGCCAATCAAACAAATGTAAACAAAATTTCGCGCACTTCTTTTCTAAAGCAAGCTAAAAGTAACAACTGATAACTGACAGAAGAAAGAATGCAATTACAGAGTCACAAGCCGTTGAAAAAAAATTTGTCAACGCCGACTATATGAAAAATCCGCAATTACTTTTTGGGCAACAAAATAATTTGAATTTTTTAAATCCTTTAATTTTAAAATTTTTTCAAGGCATTTTTTATGCTCAATAAATTAGTTTAAAATTACAACAACTATTAAAGATGTTATTTTTAAATTTTGTTCAAAGAACAATTTTAAATATTAAAATCAGTTTTCTTCCATTGATTTTTCAATTTTATTTTCAATCGTTTTTTTTCAACTTTTTTAATTTTTTAAAGCATTTTTTATGCTTCTTAATTAAATAAATTAAGTTGATATTAGAACAGCTAATTAAAAATGAATTCAGAAATTTTAAGTTTCATATTTTATATTTACTTAATAAATAAATAAATAAATTTAAAATGTTTATAAAGCATGATTTAAAAAAGTATAATAAAAAACCATTAAAAAGTTTCCATTTGGGCAAATTTGAATTTGTTACGATTTGAATTTGTTAAGTGCGCCCCAAGGTATGCTACGGAATTACCTACACGAAAATGCTCAACTCTTTGTTAATGCATTTCAAACAATGACGAGCATTTACCTAAAGCATTCGCCTTTATTTAAACATTTTCGCGTACAAAAAGCCAGAAAAGCGAAATTCTACACAAAATACATGCATACATACATACAAACATACACACAATCATAAATACTTATGCAGGTATTCATTTAACGAAGCCAGTAAGTGGCATGAATATAACATTTCATGCAGATATATTTCACGCTCCCTGAAAGCAATAAACATTTCTTACTTTAAGCCACCCACTCAGCTATCAAAAGTTAATGGTTATGCTCCCAGCTCTCACACACACACACACGCCCAATTGCTTGCAACACTGTCAGTCAGCCAGTCAGGCAGTCTGTAAGCGACGCCCAGCAGCAACAGACGCAGCAGGAAGTGTGTGATTTTAAATCTCTATAGAATTTGTGCAAGAAAACATTTATGTAAATATGTATGTATGTATGTATGTATGTATGTATGTATGTATGTATGTATGCAGATATGCCTGAAGAAGCAAATGTTTTTAAAAGTCAAACAGACAGACAAACGTTAAAGGTACTAAAATGGCACAAGATAATTGGGTTATAAGTGCAAATGTTGAAGGCGAGACGAGAGTTGGTAGACATTTTTACCCTTTCAAATATCAGACTTTTGTAAAGTTAGTATTTTAATTTGCCATTTCCGTTTCCGTTTTGCACGCCACTCATTCAATGAGCACTTAACACTTTCAAATGCCCATGCATACACACATACACACACAATCAACGCACAAAATACATTTATCGACTCGCGCACACATATACTCGTAAACAATAAGCTCGCCATCCACAACTTTGTCCTAATGTCCTTGCACTTACTCCGCACTCCACGGCAAACTTCTTTGCCGTTTGCTTTACCGTTGCCGCTGCCGCTGCCGTGGCCATTGCCGATTTCGTACCGATTCAAATACCAATGCCGATTTTAGTTCTGTGTACTTTTCACTGTGTCAACACTTCGTTAGATTTTTTGAACCGCCTTCACCGCCAACCGTACTTCACCGCCAACCGTACTTCACAGGCGTAGCAACATCATTGACTTTGGCGCTTTCTTGAATATCAATTAATTTTTTACTTTCATTTATAATTTTATTTTATTTTCTCTCTTTTGCGCTTTATAGCCACTCAGTTTTTTGAAATTACTTGTTAAGTGCTTTCGCTGTAACCACTCCCGGCACTTTTATTTGTGTTTTTGACCTTTCAACTACCAACTTCGCTGCTTTACCCTTTCTCATCTGCTTCTTCTTTTTCTTCTTCTTCTTCTACTACAATACAAAAAGGCAATCCAATGCTGGTAAACTTTTGAGTATGTGAATGAAATTTTTGTATTTTTTTCTGATTTTAGTAACTCAATTTCAGTTGAAACGCGTTTAGGACATTTTCGATTTTCCGGCAATTTGTCCTTTTCGATTGAGTGTCCCGTCGTGACTGCCCGAAAGCATGTTTTGTTCGTTATTGTGCTGTTAGTATTGGAGCTTTTTTGTTGGCGTGAAAGCTTTGGAGGTGCTGCCAGCTTTTTGTAGGGTGGAATTTGGGATTTTCTTTTCCGCACTTTGCGGGGTATTTAAACATTTTGTCAGCAAACTGATGGGCAGATATAAAGGACTTCTCCGAGCCGTTCGGTCTCAGGTTGGGTGACTCTTTATCGTGTGATTTTTTCAATTTGCTGCTGATAAAATAATAAGACCTGCAGAGCTAAGCCATCTTTTGAATTTCAACGCAGATTCACTCTTTGGCAAAAGATGCTACTTTGGACTGAGTAGACAACTGAAAAGTGAAGTTCACTCTGGACGAGCGAAATCCAAACTCTACAAGTCATGATTTATGACTCCGTTCTGCTATATGGTAGTGAAGCATGAACGATATTCACATCCTTTGAGTCGACCTTGAGAGTCTTCGAGAGAAAAGTTTTGCGAAAGATTTATGGTACTCAACACATTTGCCACAAGGAATACCGCAGATCATGGAACGATGGAGCTGTACAAGTTGGACGAAAGCATTGTTATCATTCGGCATATGCAGATACAGACGCTACGCTAACTACATAGGTCATGTCGTCCGATATGATGAAATCACTCCAACTATGATAGTATTTAATACAGTACCCGCTGGTGGAAGCAGTAAACCGTTGTAAGGATCAGGTGGAGAGCGACCTGGCTGTTTTTAATATTTTCTACTGGCGCCGAACAGCGAAGAGAAGGAATGAATTGTGTAAGCGATGACTACGCAAATGAAGAAGAGAAAGACGAAAAAGAAATCGGTAAGAAAACAACGACAAAAACTAGCCTTCTCTCATCTTGTTTACGTATGATTTTTGTTTAAAATAAAATAAAGGTTTTTAGCAGACAAAACTGAAAAAGCCGCGGATGCGAAATACAACTGAAGATCGTTGCCGACGTCAACGAATTTTATAATTTATATGCTTGAATATAAACACAAGACATGATCCATACGGTAACAAATAATTATTGACGTATTCAGTTTCCATTTATTTTGAGAAAAACCACTCATTTTCTTCGATTATTTAATGTTTCTTTAAGAAAGGCTATACTGGCAACCTTGTATAGCAACGAAAAATGAGCCGAGCCGGTTTTACGGAAAAAATCAAATATTCGTTGGTTTCTGCGGGACAACCGTCACTAACGGCATGGGCAAGCGGTGACAACTTTGTGTTTACATGGCGCTCTCATAAGATAGGTTGCTATGGACGGCTGGTACGTGAGTTGGGTAGTTGCAGCATAAGGCATTAGTAGATACTGTGGTGAAAATGCCAAGTACGGTTGTGAGGTGAAATGGAGATGCCGATAACTAACTGTTATCCCTAAATTGAAGCGTTGAGCGCTAAACAACTGTCAAAAATCATCACAGCCATACAATTTTTGGGTCTTTTATTTACCATGCCAGTGACAAAACTTGAAAGATTTAGGGAATAGTCGGAAGTATATAGCAAAAATCGCCACAAAATACATACATATACATATAAATCTAATAATTTTTACTTTTTTCGCTTTAAATCTTGAAGCACGACGTAATAAAAACTCCGAATGAGAAAAATTCTCTTTTGTCGACAAATTATATGAATTAAATCAAATGCTTCAAAATACAAAATGACAAAATATATTTCAGATTTCAATGTGAAAAATTCAACAAAGTACTGAGAAAAAACGGCAATAATTAGCAAGGCTGTTCTTTGGAAACTGACGGAAAATTGTGTATATAATATATACTGAAGGAAAGTGTCAACATTAGGTACCTGCGAAAGAAGCATGTACCCTTGATTTACAGTATATGCGCAAAAGAGACAGAAAATAACAGGTTAAGGAGAGAGCGAGTGAGAGAGAGGAAATCGAAATTATATAAAAGATCAGGCGGACTCTTCAAAATATACAGTTGTCGAGAATACTTGCATGTGACAGGAACTCCGGGAAAGGAAAAGAATTACAGTTTTAATTTATTATTTTATTTCGTGATAAAACCAAAGGAACTGAAAAATCAGCGAAATTTCATATACAAAAAAAAAATAATAAAATAACGCAATCCTAAACTTCACATTTAATTGAGGTGGCAACTACTTTGAATACATAAAAGAAGCAGAAACTCAGAAATCACAATAAACAAACAACAGCTGTTGAAGATTGGTTGTGTTTCTAGAAATATTGGCGTTGTCAACAAAGACAGTGAAAATAGAAGAGAAAGCATTTTTATAAATAATTTCATATAAATTCTAAAGCAACGAAACATTAAAAGTTTTACAACGTTATGGCGCATTATAAGGGAGCCGCAAGTGAGGCGGGTCGTGCCGCACAATTGATGAAGAAACGTGAAATTGCACAACAAGAAATTGAGTTTCGCAAAAAGAAAATCGAGGAGGAACTAAAACTCGACAAGATTGAGAACAAATTTGCTGCACATTATGACGCGGTGGAACAGCAGCTTAAAAGCTCGACCATTGGTCTGGTCACCTTGGATGAGATGAAAGCCAAACAAGAAGATATAGTAAGGGAGCGTGAAAAAAAGTTGGCACAGAAAAAAGATGAAAAAGAGCGTGAAAAGCAACGTGCACTGGAGGCTATACAAGCAGAAAAGAATAAACAGAAGCGGCAAATTCAAGCGCTTTCTTTTAATTTTAACGACGACGAAGAAGAAAATGAAGATGAGGAGACAAAGGACGATGCGGAATCTGAATCAGAAGTTAAAGAAGTTATTTTACCACCGAAGAAAAAATGGACAGAATTGGATGATGATAGCGGTCCACCAAAGAAAAAGAAAATTTTCAAAAATCCAGAAGTAGATACATCTTTTCTACCTGACCGCGAACGTGAAGAGCAGGAGAATCGTTTACGCGAACAATTGCGACAGGAATGGGTTATGCAACAGGCGGCTCTTAAGGATCAAGAAATAACCATCACCTTCAGTTACTGGGATGGTTCTGGTCATAGGCGAAGTGTGATTATGAAGAAAGGAAATTCTATTTACCAATTTTTGCAACGCTGTCTTGAGCTGCTGCGTAAGGAATTCAATGAATTGAAAACTGTTATGGCTGATCAACTTATGTATGTAAAGGAAGATTTAATACTGCCACATCATTATTCGTTTTATGATTTCATTGTGACAAAAGCTCGAGGTAAGAGTGGACCGCTTTTCCAATTCGATGTGCACGATGACGTACGTATGATTAGCGATGCAACTGTCGAAAAAGAAGAGTCACATGCTGGCAAAGTGCTCTTACGTTCTTGGTACGAACGTAATAAACATATTTTTCCAGCTAGTCGTTGGGAGCCATACGATCCTACAAAAACTTATGATAAGTATACTATTAAGGATAAGAGTAAGAAAACATAGATTAAATGTTTTGTAGAGGTTTTAGATAAGCAAAAAATAAAGTACATTATATATCTATGTATAACATATAAAATGTGTATAAAAGCTTTTGTTGTTAATATTTTATAATAATTGTCTTGTTGTAAAATAGATTTCTGCGGTATTCTGTCGTTTTTACATTTTTTCCTCTTGCGATAGACACGTCTGACAGCGGGCAAATTATTTTTCGTCGATATTTAAAAATAATTAATGATAATAATTATGATGTTGTTGTCGATATAACGCTAAAATATTCCTTCAAGTTGAGGGGAATTCGGGGTAAGTCACAGTCGTTGGGCGGGTAAAAAGCTTGGTCGTTCCGGTGTAAAAACCCGACAGTCGCAGGAACTATTAGATTTTAGTCGCTTTACGACAGACATGTCTTATCAGAAAACTTATAATAACTTACATATAATGTACATACTTATATTATAATAAATTATTGTAAGCTCTCTTCCTTACCGTGGGTAAATTCTTCAACCCCTAGCCTGGAGGGAAAACACTAGGCGCTTTGGGAATAGATGTACTTTAATTGCGGTACCCAACTCACCGTAATCTGAAAAATGTCTCTATTACAATAGCAATACGTTTGAACTCACTTTCTTTATTGCACTCAATTGTAAAATAAATAATATTCATTGGATAGACTCTAGTTTCAACTATGACTTCCGGTTTCCACATATTAAAATCAAACTGGTCTACAAGAAATTAAATTTACAAGCGTAGTTAAGTTAGCTGAGGGAAACGGAAAAAGGCGGATATCGTGTTTGGGCATCATGTGGTTGACAAAAACTACTCTCATTTATTGCAGAATAAATGTATTGGAAGAAAATTTAGCTTAAGCTTAGGCGTTCTTCTATGTAATATTTCATGTATTTAACAAAAACTGAAATTAAATTTTCAGTTGAAACAAATTCTTTAATAAAATACTCGCTAACGATAACACTGGCAATGCAAGAATTAACTGAAAGTGGCAGCATCTCTACAGTGGTGCTTCTTCTTCAGTGTGCCATAAAATTCCGTCTGGCAAAGTAAAATTTGTGTGTTTTTCGCGTATTTAGTGCTATTTTAATTGAAATGTGTAATAAGTCAGAATAAATATTAACACAAGTTATCAGTGCAATTGATAAGAAAATTAGTAAGCACCTGAGTCAGGTAACAACGTTAACTAAGCACTCCAGCAATTATAGTGGAATTTTATGTATAGGTACATACATGAATGTGCATAGGATGGTGTATTTGCTGATGCAGTGAAATTGAGGCAGCGACTTCCAGAATTTTTTTTCCTTACCTAAAAGAAGAGTGTCCAAACGAAAGGAAGAAGGTATGTGGGATGTGAAGTATGTATAAATCTATATCTGTGAATACCTTTTCAAATGTAGTTAGTAACTGGTGTTGTGCCGTGTTGTATGTAAGCATAAAACATTGAAAATCATAGAAAATCTTGACAAATTTTTTGGTTTGCTCTAAAAGATATAAATTATTTATAAACAATAAATTTACTAGTTCTAAAATAACTAAAAAAAAAATAACAAAGTTCGAGCACTAAAGTGTATATGTGAAAAATCAATACGAACTCTGCCTGCTCCACCACCCTTCATCATTCTTCGGCATTAACGCCTCCGTTTACAGGATTCGGTTATGTATGTATGCATGGTTGGGGAAAAAGGGATTCTGTGAGTACACAAAACTATGCAAATGAAATATGAATCGAAATATTTTTATGACATTCCCTTTTTAAATAAAATAAAAACAAATACAATTATGATTTCCTCGATAATTATTTTAAAGTTGAGTTGTTACTAATAGTTTAACAACGCGTTAGTTTGTAAGTCAATTAAATGAAATTAATCAATTAAACGCCGTTTAAATGCCTTAAATGGAATTGACTCTAAATGTATGGTTGTATTGTGTGAATGTATGTACATACATATGTGCGCCCTTGATTAAAAACAATATAAAAAAATTGTAAATTTAAAAGTGAGTATGGTCGTACATATGTATTTACCAACATAAATAAAAACAGTTACATGTATTTATTTACATTTCAATCTACTGAGCATGGACCCGTGTGCATCTACATATACATATGTTAGTAGGTACATGCATATATGTACATAGTACATTTTGTATGCTCTATATTGTTCATATATAGCCTTTATTAGCTGTCTTCAGCGTTAAACCTATTGTTATTTTTTTATTTTGTTCGCTAAACTCGTATAAAAAATGTTGTTGCCCCTCATCATGTGGTGGACACAATCGTTCATCCGAATCGAACTTCATGGTATTACTTGATGCACTTTTTACTGTTGCTTGCTGTTGTTATTGTTGTTAGTATGGTAAAGTGTGCAGGTATGTACATATGTATATGAGGTTGCTAGTATGTAAATATGTGCATACATATGTATGTAAGTATGAACTTATTTTTTTTCATGATTTTACCGATGACTTTCTTTTACGCTCTTACTTTTTATAGTTTTTTATATTTCCCCTTTTACTTTTTCTTTTATATAATGTGTTTTATGTATGAATATATATTAGCAAAATTATTATATATGTATGTCCAAGTAGCTCCAATTTAACTGGAGCACATTTTTTTTTTTTAATTTTATTTAATTTATTTTTTTTTGCGTAACGAGCATGCCTTCTTCCTCCTTGGTCTACCCCAAATCGGCTTAGCTTCCATTAATGATTTTTCTGCAGTTCGCTTTTTCCATAATTTTTCAGTTGTATTTGTTGTCCGCTGGTCAACGATTGCTGAACACCGGTTGAAAGTACGAAACAAGATTATAATGAAGGTTGTTTACTTCTCAAATATTTATTTATATGTATGTATGTACCACAATGTTTTTTTTACATAAGGGAATAAAATTGCCCTTTTTATTACCGTTGTCGATCTGTGCATACAAAATTAGTAGTGATCAGGTGATTCATATATGTTTATATAATATAAATGTACCATATACTCCTATATATGTACATGCATAAGTCATGTATATGTTTGTATGTATATACCAATGCCTGTAAATAAGGATTTGTATTATCTACTTATTAATTCGAAAATGATATTTTACGCTTATTTCTAACAAATGTAGGTGTGAAATGTATAGATCATTTGCCCACGGCATCGCCGCGCAAAAATTTGTGTACATTCATCTGCATATTCATGCATACACTACATATGTATGTGTGTAGCTGTTTCATACCTGCTATTGCATTTTTGCCTATGGAACTTCTTCTGTGTAAAATTGTCTACATACAAATGTACATAGCTACACCAATGCCCGGCTTTTGCATATATACATAGTATATACTCGTATAAACATACATACATATGTACATTCAACCGTCAACTTTTATTCATTTACTTTGTGCGTTTATTTCTTATCGTATTCTCTTTCAATAATTAATTGGCCGACTGAGTCATACGCGCTTGAAGAGGCACTACTCATCCATCCAGGCAGAGCAAAAGACAAATAATAAGCATACTTGCAGTCTTGATTCCAAACGATTGTGGAATTTTGCATATGGACATACATACATGCCTACATACATACATACATACATATATGCATATGTACTTGCACACTTCTGTGAATAAATTTCCAAATGAGTTTTATGAAGACATTTGCACTTCTCTTTAGTTTTGGCGCGTCGTGTTGAGTTTTTTTTTTGCATTGTTGTTGCTGTAAACTAATTTTGCACAACTGTCACATAGAACTTTAGTTATTTAATTGGCGACAGTTGCTATTTTGGTCTGCGTAGAGACATATCGAATTATTTATTATTTACTTACAAACATATGCAAACGTATTTTTACATACATATGTATATAAATAATACATGTGTATGTATATATGTATGCCGGCATTAATGAATTACACAAGAGCTTTGGGGCGCCAATTTAACAAGTTAAGATGAAATAAGGAAAATAAATACAATAAAATAAAATAAGGCGGGTTTCCTCCGCAGAAGACTGCACAAAGAAAGTATCATATAAAATATATAAGAAACCCAGTATATATAAATTGGCACTTTGTAACCGCTGAAGCGATTCTCGGCCGAGCTTCTCCTTCAATTTGTGGTTTTGCGTCTTGATGTTTTTCCAACAAATGGAGGGACCTACAGTTTATACTAAGCCGCCTCCGAACAGCTGATGGTATGCTTTATGAGGAGCTTTTGATTTTCATGTCAGAAATATACTTGGAGGGGTTGATATTCCCTGTCGAGGGGCGACCGCGATTAGAAAATTTAACTTCATTTCTTATTTAAATTAATTTTCTATAACTTTTTGGTTGTTGTTCGCACGGAGATTTGAACCCGAGCCTTCCGAATGGCACTACGCAATGCTAACCACTCGGCTACCGCGGACGCCAGAAACCCAGTGCGAAGGTAAAAATAATTGTTTTTGAGCAATTAAGCTCAGAGAAGACGGAATGTTCTGTAAGATGAACCGTAGAATCCTATTTGCTGTCATTAAAATTTTGATGAGTAACTGCGGCTCAAAGACAAGCTTCTGCTTATAATGGTTCCATGTATAATTTAAGAACTTCCAAGTAAGCTTGGAGCTTTGTATACTCTCATACCTTCTAGAAAGCAATCGAGGTCTGGTCACATACTGTGAGCGTACTGTTTTGGTCTCAATTAACTTTGCAGCGAGCCTTCGAATAAGCTTATTATGCTACTAGCTCACACTGAAGACTTCTTATTATTGTCGAAGACTTTTTCCTATCCAGACTCCGACATACCCAACGAATGTGCCAATGAAACTCCCACCGACACTAACCCTTTTTTGCATGCCTCACAAAACCTAATTAGACAAGTCTCGGCTGCTACAACAACAAAAACAATCATTAACACGAGCTGTCTCGGGAAACCCGAGTAATAATGGCGTAATTATGATCTGGATATTGTACCCGACTAAATTTCTACTTATCCGGACTTGACTCAACGTACATCCTGGAAGTACTAGACTAAGCAACGATCAGAATTTAAATATTCTGGAATCAAAACTTCAATCGGGATATGTGAAAATGTAAAAAAATTGTTTTAGCATTAAAATCCCGTCAGAAATATTATCATGCAAGGTTAAACTAAAATCAATAACAACAGTTTTTCGTTTACAAAATTCTCAAAGTTTTGAAAACAAAATAAAAGTTTTTGGCACTCAAAACTTATTAAAATGGATAATTTACTTTCAACATACCTAAATTTGCGTGCTATGAAATGAGGTCATTGTGCTCGACAATATTTCTGTGCTTATGTAAATACATATGTATGTATGTATCGCTTATATGTCTGTTCTTCATTAATCAATAATGTTATAGTTTTGTTCACTCGCAAATTATTAGGCGCTGGGGTAGTGTGTGTTTATCATTAGTGACATCAAAGAGCCTAAATAAAAGAAGATACTCATTAAATACATACATACATACACTTGGCAAGCTTATTAGCGTATTAAGTAAAATTTTGGAATTTTTGGCAAATATTTTGATGTTTTTGCCTGAAAAGAATTTTTGTATAATTAACGGTGTATATATAAGTTTTACGATGCAGATGCCTTATTACATTAATGAAATCCTAAATATAAAATTCTTCAGTATCTAAATGGAGATTTTTTAAGAGCTATAGAAAAGTTTTTCAAAAAAAAGATTGAAGATTATTTCATGCAAAATGTTGACTGTGATTGTCCCTCAAATGGTCCATCCGCTTAGTCCAATTTTGGCATGCTCTTTCCAACATTTCGGCTGATATCTCACGAATAAATGCTTCTATGTTGGCCTTCAATGCGTCAATTGAAGCGGGGTTGTCTGTATAGACATTAGATTTAACATAGCCCCACAAAAAATTGTCTAAAGGCAAAGCATTATGCTCCTTAAGTCGTAGCAAAGATACATCACTGTGCAAGTGATGCTCCGGCGACATCAGGAGGTTTCCAGTCGAGGTCCTGAGGGCGCTGTTTGTCTCATCAATTCAGGAAAGATACCAAGTGTTTTTGAATAAATCAAAATTTTCTCAATATTAATACATTTTTTTAGCATCTTTTGAAGCGATCAATCGTTTGCCTTGGGTGAGAATAGTAGTTTCTGATAAAAATATTTATCAATATCAGAATACTAATACTGGGGGCCGCAACGGTGAATGCCGGGGCTCAAATCCTGTTTCGGCCAACATTAAAAATTGTAGAAAATTAATGGTTCGCCACTCGGCAGAGAATGGCTGACGACTTTTATTTTGGGTAGCATTTATTTCATGATAGAAGTACACTCGAGGGGTTAATCTTTCGTGAAATAGAAAAACATATTTTTGTTTCAAATAATCTAAACATATTAAAACGAATGCTTGTCTGTTAGTGACACTAAGGCTCGAGAACGACTGGATCAATCTTGAAAAAATTTTCAGAGGTTGTTCGTGGTGGACCAAGGAAGATTAGAGATAAAAAAACCGTATACTCTTCCTGAAGAAAAGTCGGAAAATTTGAAATTTATTTGAAGAAAACGTTGAGACCAGAGAACGTCAAATAACGAGAAGGATCGATTGCGCACAGCATGTGAACTGCAAGAATCGACGAAAGAAATAAGAGGCTTTTCACCACTGCCGCCAGAAATTGACTTTGTTTGTCAACATTTCTGAGCGAGATAATAATAAATTAATAAAATAACTTTCTACCCAATAT